TATTGACATGATGGTACATACATTCCACAGACTTATACTCTATCAATATTTGATCATCTTAATCCCTCTTGGCAGACTGGCATATTGGTTACAGGGTTATTCTGGGGCATACTTAACCAGTCGATTTTTACTAGAGATTCAGTAAATATAAAGTCATAAATTATCTCTTACCTGTACCGGTATATAAATGTTAGTTTTCATAAAAACAAAGGTACGAGGTATGCGAGGTAGAGAGGTAAGTGGTGATTCATGTCATGATCACTTTTATTTTCCAGTCACTTGGGAACATCATCACATCCACATCAGACCGAATGACTATTCAAATAGCATCCAGTATTTGATGATGGAATATATCATTTACAATTATAGTAATAGAAATTAGCCCATAACGTGTGCTCTGATTTGTTGCTGGATCCTACAATATCTGATTGCATTTTTCGCTGCAGGTAGACCTTAGACATAAATTGCCACAGAGATCCCCTCAAGAGTGTCAAAAGAGTTGATTTATTTGTTGGGGAAAAAAAAAACAAGTCTTCTTCTTCTCTCCTGCTCAACAAGAACTCGGTGATCATTTGAATCTAAGATCTATTAACTGTGAGAATTGCAGAAACAGCAACAAATCAGAACTCATAGTTATGAGCTATGTAAACTAGTGTCTGTGTATTTTAAAAGAGCTCTTACCTTCATTGGATTTTTTAAAATTAGATTAGGAAGTTCAGTTATTGATTTAAATCAACAGGATAAGAGGGTGAAGGATTCTTTTGTTTTACAGTTTCGACAACTTTGTGTCATCTTTGTCATGTGGGTGCATTTCTAGGTACAATTATCTCTGGTGGTTTGTGTGTTCGGGTCAAATGAATATTCATCTTTTTTATTTATCATGTATACTGTGTGTATGCTTTAAATGACGCAGAAATTTATACACCTGCTGCTGTCAGTGCAGAAGATTTCATTTCACAATAATTATCTTCTCGCCATAGATTATAGGAGTAGAGGAATGAGGAGAAACTCCCACTGCCTTCCCTCATTTTTGTGCCATACATTATTGTGTATTCTACTGTGAGTGTATTTCAGTTGGCTAGAATAAACGTCAGTGCAGACCTGTAGCCCTTACATCAGTTTAAATTTATATCCCTACCCCACAAGAAAGTCTGATCGAGTACAAATTCTCTGCTATGACCCGCCAATTACGCAATCACACCCACCATCACAAATCTTTGTTTTCCCCCATCATATATGTATATGTTGTTCTCTTTATACAGGCACTATGCAAAACTCTCGGCTGTAAAACCAATTGGTAACTAGTCCCAAATATCATTCATTGTCAGTGTTTCTGCATGTTTTATTCATGTATTTTTCACTTCAGTTCTTAGATTCCAGAATCACCATCCTGTCCATATTACCCGTCCAATCCTGCATGATTGCCAATAATTCACATACTTTTTCATTTCAGTTTACCAGTGACTTGATGCATCTTGTTTGAAGTAAAGAGCATATCATTTAATTTTCGAACAATGATCCATTATTTGGCATTAGTACAATTTAGTTTTCCTAGAGCAACCATGCAGTTGTGATATAAATTTTCTCATAGATCTTTGTCTCAAGGTTTTTTTTTTATCACTTTGAGTAAGTACTGAACAACTGGACTTCACAGGTACAGCAAAGTTCAGTGGTTGAAAGTAAGTCCGCTGAACTCTGATTTTGCCCGGAGTTCAGAAGAGTTGACAGGTGTAGGAAACAATTTTTCAGAATAAGAGTCTGGAATTTTATCACCACGGAAATTAAATGATCACTTTTTACTGCATGATAGCAATCCCATTTTGTATGTACACAAAATACATGGATTTAGTACCTAGTGCACGTTTACATGTATGAGTCAAATCTTGTATTTTGAATAAGACTTCAGTAGAATGTGTGATATTGCTCTGTTATTACCATCGTTGTATATGTAATTGACTACTGCAGTAAACACTGCATTGGTGAAGTGCTGCCAGTGATACATGTCAAAAGCTTCTTTCCATTGTTTCCCTTGATAACGTGTTACGTAGACATTCCCCTATGTGGAGATTGTTCTTCCTTATCAAAATTACTTTATTTGCTTTATTACACACCCTATGACAATCTATAATAAAACAGAAGACAGTTTTAGGTTACCTGGTAGTTCGCAACAAAAATCAAATGAAGTTTTTTGTCTCACATTTGTGCGTTGTTTTTTTTCGCTACAGGTTCATATGCAAGCCCTGGTTCCTCATTAGGTCGTCAGTCCAAACAATCATTCAACCTTCATCCTGTGCCAGCCGGCGAGAACCGCATCGACGATGATGTAAGCAGTCGACACAGCAAACAGAACGGATCAATTGGCAAGAGAAGCAATGCCGGCAGTAGCATCGGCAGACGTAGCACACATAGCATAGCCCTTGGTCCTGATGGTGATGTGGGTTCGAATGAATCACTGAGCAGGCGAAGCGTGGGTAGCAATAAAAGTAATGTCAGTTCCAAAGAGCTAACTACAGCTGATATAGCATTGTAATAACAATTAACAGAAATATTCACATTATTACACTGCTTAGTTTAAAAATGTGGATATATTGTTTGTGGTCGGCATCTGCCCTGTAATATTATTTGTGTCTGTTGCCACCAAGAATGGTTAACACATTGGGCTCCACACCAGTTTTATAACGTACAAAAATGGACAGCATTCGACTCTATGGTGCCAAATGTGTTACGTCATGGAGTGTATGTAATATTGTTATATACATGGGTACTTCAGATCTATTGATATAAGTGAGGAGTTTTTATTTATCTCTAATATGTCTGGTAATGTTTGCCACTACATGCATTGTTTAAATGGGAAGCAGTAAAATGAAAAATCATGTTCTTATTATTTTCTATCACTAAAAAAAACAAACTATTGACACTTGACATTCCAAATTAACATTTCAGTTTAACAAACAGTTGAGGGAAAGTGACTCGTGGTACAATGTCTCTCTTCAATGCCCTTGCTAGAATTCCGAATAATATAGCATACCAAACCTTACACTGTTACAGGCAAGTTACTGTAAACTCGTTACATATTCACTGCTGATAAGTCTTACTATTAATAAAACTAAATTCGCATGAACACATACAATTGAAATAGGACTCTAATGTTTCAATAGTAATTCTAAATTGACACCCAGTGAAAATGCTTGTAATAGTGTTTTTTTAATTTTTTCTATTTTTGTTAGTAAGTAAATTTTGCTAAATTAAATCCACATGAACATGTAAAATAACCAGTTTTTGATCTTAAAATCCAGTGAAATTGTGCAAATTATAATATTTAAATTAAAAGCCAGTGAAGATAAATGATTTTACGTACAGTATATAATTTCTTAGACAAAAGTTGATTTCTGATATAAATCTAGTTGACAATTAATATTCACGAACACTGTGTTGTTATCACACATTATGACATTGACAAACATTGGCTGAGTCACAGGTTTTATGTAGTCTTTGCATTGAGGTGAAGTATTAACAAAAACACATACCATAATTGTCATGCATTACTATACCTTTGATCTGCATTTATCTTTTATTAAAGTTACATTATCAAGAGAATACAAATCTAAATTTCATCTAGTTTCACTTTATTGTGATTATAAGTGAACATGTTTTAACACTTTTTTCATATTTTTTTAATATAATTATTTTTGTGTAGTTGTACATTTTGAAGACCACTTCCCCCTTAACCAATGTTGTTATTAATTTTAAAATATGCATATTTCATATTTAATAACTAATAAGTTCCTCTATATTCGGTTCCTGCTGTAGCTTTTGATGCAGGTCAGTAGTCAGAGGAAAAATACAGAATATGATTCAGTTCTCCTGGGAATGTTCTTAATTATGGCCTCGGTACTTTGGATAAACAATAGTGAAGCATTAGCATAACAATAAACACACAAAAAAAACATTGTCATGCAAATTTACACATTTTTCACACTTTTTGGGTATTCTGCTGAAATTATGAGTTTATGAGTATTTACTAATAGATTAATAGGAGTGGAAGGACGTGATTGTAAAATAATTTATCAGGTTATTATGGAAAGATGATTGTGATATGGTGAGTTCACTGCAGCCGCCCTAATATGGTAACTAAGGAATATGTTGAACTGATGACATTCATTTTAACAATGGAATTTATCGTTTCGATGTCAAAGTTGGTAATAATAAATACCATTGTGATTGAATGAATGTGGAAGATATGAGAACCTTTCAGTCATTGATTGTTAACTACAGTGGTATGGCATGTTGCACTGAACATTGTCTACGTCTATATTTATCTTTTATAATCGGTTGCCGAATCACCTTTTAGAGGTTCTGGCATTTTGTCTTATTAAATAATGTTAAGAGGAGGGGTGGGGAAATTCACCTATATTGAGAAATACCTCAGTTGTCTGTTGTTCTATATGTTCTCTATAATGCATGCAGTATTCAGAGTGAATAGACAGGGATGGCATGCCATGTACTCTCTTTTTTTTCAAACATGCCAGAATGAATCTGTCAGCATTACTAGTTAAATTTATAATTAACACATTTGGATTTATGAAACCTAGCTGATGTACTTTGATATATTACGAATTATGGTTGACGCCAGTTTAGTTTTACAAGAAGTTAAAATGTGTAAACTGTGTAGGAGAGAATCTATGATCATGGTGCATTTACTGCATAGGGGTTAATTATTTATTTACTTTTGAGATATAAAGTCGTACCAGTATGCGGCATATGCCAACTGCAATAATTAAGATATTCCCAATATACCCTTTAAAAAGTTGTTTGCAAAAAGCCAAACATTTTCGTAGATTCTGAGTATTCCTCATCTTATTGCGTCATCAAGTCTACCGGTAATCAATTCAAATGATTTGTCTCATAAAATAGTTTGCATTTTCAAGTACCTGTGCATTTTAGATCTTTTAAATTTATATGATTTCTGTTTTAAGTGCATCCAAGTGACCTTCAAACATGAAACATTTCGTACTTTCTAGGCTAGATGTGCTGAGTATGTTTCAAAGCAGGATTCAAATTCGTGTTGCATTATGGGATTTGAGGTTCCCCAGATAAAAAAATACAATTAGCTGCTTAGTGACAATCTTAGCGTGCATAAATTGGCGAATTATTATATTATTGTATTTATGCAAATAATGAACTTTTTTGATAGGATATAGTATACATTTTAATAGAATGCCTTCTATTTTATTGTGTAATCAGATTATACTATTTATATACAGATATTAAAATACTAATATTACATTACAGTGTCTTATTGGGAAGTTTACATTGAGAACTTTTAAATATATCATTTTAAGTTGTACTTTGAGATAATTCTTGAATATTGGTGTTTTTTTTTTTTTACTTATGATGTAAATATGCATGAATCACCAGACATCCAGATCAAAGGGAGAGTCAAAACGATTGCTATTTATGCATATTCATACCATTATTTGCATAATATAATACAATGTAGTCTTAATATATCTAAAAGAGTCATCTTGTAGTGCTACTTTAAATAGGTGATACTTTTTATTTGAAAATGGATTTATTATGATACATTATATACAGTACAATTTTCCAAGATTGTGTACAATCTGTTTTTTTTTTTAATGACTAATAAACGCATTGTGGTATGTGATGGTTGCTTTGTTCACAGGCCGCTCCTGTTTATTTATGCCACCCCCCTCTCTCCTGTGCTGCAGATAACGTAATATATAAATCAATGTCAGAATTTAGTGGTGTTATTGTTGTGGGCGTTGTCAACTGAACATGACGACTGACTTGTAATGTATATATTTAGTTCCTGGCCTAGTTAATGACTAAATCCCACTATATTACCTCAAGTTGTCACATCTTGCAACCCAATTGATATTTTTTGCATTGCAGTGTATGATAAATTGTTTACCTGCAATGACTGTGACTATTTCACCAGAAAGTTTACCATCTCCAATTCTATTCGCAAGACAGACATTACTTTTTAAAAAATACAAATAACATACTCGTACGGTACAGACTAAGCGTAACTTGACTATAAAGTTGACTCTTGCTTTGCTTTGCTTTTTATAAAACCTTTTTTTCAAAGTGAGTATCATCTGTTTTTAGTGTTCCTAAATAAGATTTCTATTGAGTACATCATTTGTATTATCTACGAGCGTGAAGGATAGATGGATTCATTTATATATGCCACAGAACGTTTGCTTCAGTACATCTATTTCCCTACCTGTTTTGTTTGTATAAAATTATGTTGTGTATACTTCTTTTAGTGGGATGATTTTTTTTTTTTTAACTGCTGATTGACATTTAATTCCTTGCATCATATTAAGCCACTGCTATGCCATGCTAAAAATCACAGGCAGTACTGTGACATTTCATTGGCTACTTCACAAGTGGTTGATCTCAGGTTTTACATTATTTATCATGCTTTTCATATAATACAGTTGCAAAGACACAGCCCTGCCATGATTGGTGGAATTTACACAAAGTGACCATGTTTGGTTTGGATTAGTTTGTATTCTGACAGTCATCACAGTGTATATTATTCTAGTGTATGTAAATAATTTTTGCCATGTTTTTTTTTGCAACAGACATTACACAACACAAATCAACATAGCAACTTTATTCATTTTCTGTCTGTCACTTTTATCTGCCGCACATAGTGAATCTTTATTTTGCTCTGTATTTTATTTTCAAATCTGGACTGTAATTATCTGATTCATATGGTAAGGTTAGTAAGGTTGCATTGCTTTGCTTTATATAAAAAATAAAGATATAATTAATTCAATATATAGTGTGTTTCATGAGTGCATACAGATTTGTGTTTATGGCCAGTTGATTTGATTACTGTGTAATTTTAGACAGCGCCCTCCTTTTTTTGCTATTTTGTACTTCGTTTTAATGATTCTGCATTCTACATTCTACTAGTAAACAGCCGTAGAGGGTGTTTTCGAAATTTGACGTTTATCTGCTACAGCCTCTTGTAACAGGAGTTCACCTTGACCCAACCCTAAAATCGAATTGCAAGTGTGCGTGTTTTGATCTACCATGGCCCAGGAGTATGGACGAGCAACGGATAGATGGTAAAATATGTAGCTTTACTATGATGTGGTTCTATGGGTTGAAATTGAGTGTATGTGTACCAGCATGGAACTATAAACCCTAGTTCCATGGTACCAGTAAGCTTGAACATATTAGTCTTAACTTGAAAGTGAAAGGGTTGTCACCTGTGCACGCGTGTGAATTGAGTTTCAAGCAACGATAACAACGCATGCTAAAAACGCTCCTGGGTAGAGGCTTGTTTGTAAACATTGACACGCTATGGTCATCTGACGCATGCGTTTACAAAACTGTTAAAAGTAATTTTGAAAAACGAAAGAAAAAAAACAACTTAATAATTCCGGGTCGTGGCAAATAGTTGATTGATGAGGTATAACGCTATGAATTTCACTTAGGTGAGGACGATTTTATGACAGTTTATATATATTTTTAGTTCGTAAATGTGAAATCAATCAATTTCTATCTATCTACATGTATATCTTCTGACATTAGAATATGTTTTTGTGTAGTTTCACTAAAAACTTCCGATTTTTCATTGCACTCGTTATTTATTAATTTTGGCTAAATGTTCGCCCAACAACGCCATGCAAGTTCAAAACACTCCACAATAATCGTTCACAGATATATTACAGGTGGTACAGGTTTCGAATATCACAGATGGTATCTTCACTACAGCTTGCCACTCAACGTTTAAACTGTGAAACATGTTCATTTTAAAATAAGGTAGCAAGAACATTGTCCAGAAAACACCGACTGTTGTGGAATT